GGCGGCGCTGCTGGGGCTGCGGTCAGCGCGGGCACCGCGGACGCGCCGCGTCTCCCGCACTAATTGGCCCTCCCTCCGCCGCCCTCGCCGTAATTGCTGCTTCGCGGGGTGGGGGCGGGCGGGATGTCGGAGAGGAGGAACGGGCGCAGCTCCGGAGCCGGGCGTGAGGCTCAGCCCGAGCTGAGCCGCGGCGCTGGCGGGAGCCGCGTGTGCGCGCTGTTCTACGTTGGCTTTGCGTCCGTGCGCCTTCGTCCTCGCGGCGGCCCTGGCACGCCGCGGTCAACCCAGGGAAAAGCCTCTCAAGTGCCCTGGGGCCTTCTCCAAGATCTGAGAGCTGCTCCCCGCGGGATGGGGCCTGGCAGGGACTTTAGGAGCAACTCTGGGTGGCCGTCGGAGACTCGGGTGCAGCTGGGAAGCCGAGGTGGGCGCAGGCCAGTAGGTAGCCTTCCCCGCCCAGTGGTGGGGGCGGGGGGCAGCAGCGCACAAGAAGAGGGGAGTCTTCCTGAGAGGACAGGGTGGGTGTGGGGCAGGGGCTGTGGGGGGCAGGGGGCCAGCCCACGATCCTGGCTGACCACTGGAATTCCTCCAGGCTCCAATTCCGAGAGAAGGTCCTAGGTATCCCTGGGAGTCCTTTATGAGCCTGGCATCTGCTGCAGCCTGGCTGAGCCGACTGAACCCTAGTCCCTCCTCAGCCGCACACCCTCCGATCTGGGAGATAACAGCCTCTGGGCAAGTGGCTCTTTGGAGAAGGTTCCTTCCCCAGACATGTGAGAGAGCCTGAGGAGGGAACTAAGGGACCCTCAGAAGCAGGCCTGGACCAACCTGCAGTCAGACCTCTGGACCTCCAGGTCGGGGTATCCTGTCCGCACTCAAGCCCAGCTAGTCCCTGTGGGGCTCTGCACAGGTTGCCCAGGACTACCCTCCAGGCGGCTGAGCTCCTAGCTCTCACTCAGGGTCCCATTGATTGATTGTTTGGTTGACTGTCCCCTGGTTAGAGGTGGGCAGGGATGTTCTGCTGCCTATGCCTCCCCTGAGAGGAGAGCTGCCACACCTCCTCTGGGGACCATCCTCCCTCAGGGATTGCTCCAGGTCTGGATGGAAGTGGCAGGGTGAGTCAGACAGGCCTGTGTCAAATTCCCACTCTGCCACTACTAGGTCATGACCTGGAGCAAGGCCTTTTATGGCTTGTGTCTGTTTCCTTATCTGTAAAATACGGATAATAAAATCCATGACACGGTTGTTGTGAAGATAAATATTTGCTTGAAAGGGGTTTTGTCCTCCTCTTCCAACCGTCCCTTTGCTTTTGGGGCTTAGATACTGGGGCATGGAAGATTGGGGGCCTCTGCCCCCCCCCCACTCTCTCCAGCTTCTAGGTGTCTCAGGGACTCAGGAAGCCCTAGGAATAGAGACTAAGCAACATGGTAGTTTGGGGCATAAAACTGTGGGACGCTACACTATTGTTTATAATAGCATTATTCACAATAGCCAGAAGGTGGAGACAAACCAAAGGTCCATCAACAGATAAATGGATAAACAAAATATGGTGTGTATTATTTATTTATTATTTATTCAGTCTTAAAAAGGTATGAAATTCTGATCCATGCTACAACATGGATGCATTCTGAAGACAGTATGCTAAGCAAAATAAGCCAGACACAGAAGGACAAATATTGTATGATTGCACTTCTATGACATACCTGGGGTAGTCAAATTCACAGGATAGAAAGTAGAATAGTGAGTATCAGGGTTTGGGGATGAGAGGAAATAGGGAGTTAGTGTTTAATAGATATAGGGTTTTCAGTCTGGGATGATGAAAAAATTCTGGAGATGGATAGTGGCAGTGGTTACATAACAACATGAATGTACTTAATACCATGGAACTGGGCATTTAAATATGACTAAAATGGTAAACTATATGTTATATATATTTTACCAACAAAAACCTAAACTAAACCAAAAAAACTTGTGGTACAGGTTGGGGTATGCCCAGGTCGAGTTGTAGGAGAGGCCAGAGTGAGGAGTCTGGATGCAGCACCAAGACCTAAACCCATGGACAAGTGAGCATGGGGTATGGGTGTCCTTGAGAGGCACACTTGAGACAGTGAAGGAAAAAGCCAGGTGTTTTGCAACCCAGGCAAATTGCCACAGCCCCTGAGTGTAGCAAAGCAGGCTCAGCCCAAGGAGGAACAGGCAGCAGTGCACCCTTCCTCTGAGGGCTCAAATCAAGATGCCCTCTGATTTGCTCAACCATTTTACAGATGGAGAAATTCAGGTCAAGTCACCATGTTTTTATTGAGGACCAGTCCTTGGTCCAGGCTTTGGAGGGACCTTGGGGGGAGGTGAGTAGGGGAGGGAGAGAAGATCCTAAGCTATCAAAGCTTCACTACATGTAATAAGTAACCTGCCCAAGGCCTCAGGCCAGTGTGATGTGAACAGGCACAAGGTTGAGCAGGATGAATGGTAGATGACAAGCTGGGTGCAATGCTAGGGGCAGTGGCAGTCTGGGTGGTTCCCAAAAGAAGTGGCTTCAAGTTGACCTTGAAGGGTGGGAGGATTTGGAGAAGGAAGAGTAGGGTTTGCCCTAGGGCTGGGCACAGCGTAGCAGGAAAAGGACCTGGCCTAACCTGATGGCATCATGAGACAGGGGGGCATCATGGTATGTCAGGCTGAACAGGGTAGTGCAGGGCCCCAAACAACAGGCTAAGGCTCTAGCTCTGGCCTGGAGATAGGAGGGAGCCTCTGCAGGTCTTACATTGTGGAAGGCAGGACGCTTGTCTCAGATGTGTCCATGGTCAGTCTCCCCAAGACTTAGGTGGTGGGACAATCCCTTAGGCTCCCTACCTGCATAACCACCCTCAAAAATGCCTCTGCTTCTCAGGTCCTCCATGCTGGTGCAGTCTCATCCGAAAGGCCATCTTCTCCTCCTTGAGCTTCACACCCACCCTCATGGTGAAATCCATCCACAGGTACTTCTCTTCCTTGTTGTATTGTGGCCAGTAGGTCAGCTTCCCAACATTGGGGTTTCTGCCCAGAAGGAAGAAGGAAAGAGGATTGTTCATGCTTGTCTTCACCCTGCCTTCTTCTCTTATCCTTCCCTGATTCACCTTCCCTTTGGGAGTTGGGGTCTAAGAAGTCTTTACAGAGATGATATATAGACATAGACCTTTAAGAAAAATTAGAAGACTATGTGGTGGCATGGGCCTTCCAGGCAGAGGGAACAGTATGTGCAAAGGGTTGGAGGTATGAAAGACCAGGGCTTTTGGAGGAAGCAAGTGTAAGGTTACAGAAAAACATGGGGTGTGTGAAGAGAATGGATGTGGAAAGAGGATGACACAGTAAAGATTTTGAAGATTTTCATGCCAAGAGGCTAAGTAAGGGCTTGGGACTTTAGTCTGGGAGTAGAGGGAAGCCATGAGGAGTTTTAAACAGGTGAGTGGCTTGGTCTGATGATATTTCACAAAGATCCCTTGAGTGTCATAAGGGAGATGGATGGTAAGGAGAGAGAATGTGGAGATGAGAGACTAGTCACAAGGCTAGCCAAAGCTCAGCCCACGTGTCACCTCTGCCAGGAAGCCACTCCTGCCCATCCAGGCTCAGACACCTTCTCTGTGCTCTCAAAGTACCTTCTGCTCCCCCCTCCCCAGTACAGCAACTTAATGTTTTTGTTATAACATTAACAAGCCACTAGAGGATGCGGGTCATGTCTGCAAGATTCTTGAATTCCAGCTCCCAGTATAGGGCTGGGTAAAAAACAGAGCATTATGAATGCATGAGTGAATGAAGAGTGTGGTCATGGGACAGAGAGAAACACATCCTAGGGATATTTAGGACCTGGTGACTGGGGAAAGGTGAGGAAGAAGGGGCAGTCTGCTTGGGCTGATTGTGCATTTCCTTTGGGACATGCAGGGACAAATACCAGAAGCAGCTGGCCAGTGGGTCAGATGCCCAGATGTGTTGGGGGACTAGACTCACCCTGTATGGGCAAAGTTGGCCCTGTATTTCATCATTTGGAGGCTCAGCGCCTTCTCCTCCACTGTGGAATGGCCGGGGGTCGGAATATGATGTGACATTTGGAACAGAACGTGGGGGGCTAACATCCCACCCTGCTCCTTCCACTATTGCTTCCATACCAAAAGGCTTTCATTTTCGGGAACATTTTAGATTAGGAACTGCCTAGCTCCTTAGGGTCGGTCAATGGAGAGGTGGCATCCCTCACCCCCCACTATCCACCCAGCCCTAGGGGCCTTTCCCATCACCTCTGCCCACCCGTCTACCCAGCTGCCCCGAGGCCTTTCGGATGAGACTGCACCTGTCCATCTGGCCTCATGCATCCTTCTGCAGCAACCTTCCACTTTCCATTCTTCCTGCCTCTGTTTCAGAGCCAGCCCTCATCATCTCCTCTGGGATATACCCCACCTTCCCTCCCAGTTGGCCTCCAGGCCTCTGCTCCTATTTCTTTCTAACTCAGTTCAGCACACTGAGCCATCTCTCTAAATGCACATCTGGCTGTCACTTCCCTGCTTCAAATCTTTCCCAGGGTATTTTGAATAAAGCTGTTTAGCTTTTCTGGGCCTCAATTTCTTCATCTGCAGAATGGAGAAAACTTCTCTTTTTGTAGAACTGTAGAAAGGGGAGACTTCCCTTTCTGGATTGTTGAGGGAATTGAATGAATACACAGAAACGGTTTAGAAGAATGTCTGGCACACAGAAAGTGTTCAAGCGTTTCAGTATTATTACTGTGGCGGGTAAAGCCCTGTGTGATGTGGTCTCAGCTCACCTCCGAAACGTGGCCCTCAGAGGGTACCTGACCTTACACCCCCACTCCAGGCACACTCCAGGTCAGTGGTTGCTCCCCAGTCTCCAACCCAGGCCCCTGACTCCCAGGCCTGGTCTGGGCCCCAGCCTTGCCCACAGGACAGATGGTGCACTCTGTTCAGGGGATAGAGCTTTTGGGGGAGGTAGGGAGGCAGGAGGTGCTGGGTGACAATGCTGAGTATCCCTACTCTCAGCATTGTCCTCTCTCTTGGACTGGCTTGGTTTTCTCATCAGCGCTACCCCTGGCCAGAGTGGTACCCTTGGCCGGGGTGAGGGCAGGTCTGTGGACCTGCATGGTCCTGTACACGCACATCTGCACATGCATCTGTGCAGTGGAGGATGCACTCATGGATTGCGGACCTGAGTCTGTGCTGGGTCTGCCCAGGGACTGCACTCACCAGTCCCGAGATAGACATGGCCCACGAGGACTGGCCAAACAGGGTTACGCAGCCTGGGTCTCCACCGAAGGCTGCGATGGTTTTTTGTACCCAGCGCTGAGCCGCCACCTGGTCCAGCAGCGCCCAGTTCCTGCGGGCCTGCGTGTCGCCCGCGCTCGGAGAGCGGGGCTTATAATCAGGGTCCCGAGCCCCGACCGTCTGGTTGCTCAGGGGATCCTGCCTGGCCCTGCCTCTCCTCGCCGCGTCCCTGAGACACCTGGTCTTGGGACCACACCTCTTCCCCTAGAGTTAGGTCCCTCTCCATGGCAGTATGGAGCGTCCGCGGAAGTTAGGCGTAGCCCCTGCACGCACCTCTTGCAGCCACGCCCCCACAGCCCCCTCCCCTCCCCTTCCACCCGGACCGCACCTCCTCCGCCCTGAGCCCAAGTCCGGAGGAAGCCGGGTCCCTCGTCCCCCGCGCCGGTCCCCGGCCCCGCCTACCTCAGGAAGGCCAGCCTATGCCGAGCCTATGCTGCCGCAGCACAAGCACCACTTTCTCGCGGGCGGCCAGTTCAGAGGCATCGTACGTGGAAGCGGAGCCCACGAGGAAGGCGCCTCCTGGGAACCAGACCATCACCCGGGCGTGGAAAGCCGAGGCCTGAGCGGGGCGGTGCAGTGGCTGAGCCGGGCGGCGCGCAGGAAGATGAATACTCAGCCGCAGCAGAGCGTCCCCAGGCGCGCGCTGGCGGTACACGGTCAGGTACAGACCGTCCTCGCTGAAGCTCAGCCACTTGGATTGTTTTCGCGTGTTGGGATACATGGAGGCGATATGCCCCAGGCCTCCTGAAGCCCCCTGCGGCCACGATACGAGTTTGGGCCCAATGTGGTGGCCATAGAGCTGAGAATGGTTGAAAACCCAGGTTCCGCATTTGAGGGAATAGAACCAAAAGCAATTATTTAGGCAGTGTGTGTGTGTGTGTGTGTGTGTGTGTCTATCTGCCTGTGTCCGAGTGGCTTCCACTAGCGTTAGGGTCCAGGGGTGGGAGGCAGCTTGGTTTCCCCAAGATCCACCCCTCTGCCTTGAGCCTGGCCCCATGAGTCTTTGTGGGGAGAGGTTCCCTGCTCCTGTTGGAGAGGCTGTTGGTGCTGTCAAGCCAGAAACCTGGGTACCCTGGGCACCTCCTTGTCTTTCATATCCCCTCCCCTCCCTCAGTCTCTGTTCTGCCTCCCAAACAGCTCTTAAATAGGCCTCCTCCTCTATTCCAGAGCTGCTGCCCTGTAACGGCCATTACCACATCTGGCCAGGACACTGCCCCAGCCTCTTTATATCCCTTCCAACTCATCCTCCACAGAGGACTGATAGAAAACAAAAACCTGACCTTTTCACTCCCCACCTGAAAACCTTCCTGGGCCCCCTGTGTTCAGTATTAGGTCCAGATTCACCTGCACTGCCCCAGTCCCTCTCCATCTAGCCTTCTTCTGGCCACCCTTTCCTGCAGATACACATGGACCCTAGCCTCCCACCTCTAATTCCCTTTGCTTCTGTCCCCTCTGCCAAATGCTTTCTCCTCTGCCTGGCAAACTCCTGCTCATGTTTAAGGCTCAGCTCAAGTGGTGCCCCCTCTGCTGGGCAGTTCCCCTCTGTGCTTCCCCAAAGCTCTGTCCATGTTGACTATAGTACTGGGTTGGAGTTGAACCATGTACTCCCAAGGGGCAGGGATGGATGAGGATTTATCTGAGTCCTGGCACCCATGTGGACATTTGTGGAGCTTGGCTCTTGGGCCACCTCACCTTTTCTCCCTGCTGGCCAAGCCCTGAGAGTGGCTGTTCTCAATAGTTGGGGCTGGGTCCATCTGACTGGCTACAGGAGACCCTCTGCCTATTCTGCTCCATTCTCTGCTTGTTCCCTTGCTGCTCTGGCCCCAAACTAGTCATTATCCAAACTAGTCACTGGTCTTCTTCCCCTCTTAACTACCACCCCATAGTCTGTTCTAAGCCATCCACAAATTCCTATACCTAACACTCTGTGTTGCAAACAGCTGTTGTCTGACAGTTCATGGCCAGTGTTCCAACAACTGACACCCAGACTTCGGTGCAGTGGATACCCCAATCTCTAAACCCCTGATCCTTGGGGCTCTAGTAATGGCTATCCCATGTTCTGTCACCTGATCCATGGGATTCCAAATAACAATCACAGAGTGTTCAGAATGTCTGGGCTTCTGTCAGTGGTAGTCATTGTTCTAATGACTAACACCCCAGCACTCTAGTAACAGCCATTCATGTTCTAACAGTGGATGCCCCGTTCTCAACAAATAGACACCCAGGGTGGTGGTTATAGTTTTTTTAACATTCTTTTTTTTTTAAGATTGATTTATTTGAGAGAGAGAGAGAGAGAATGTGCATGAGCAGTGGAAGGAGCAGAGGGAGAGGGAGAGAGAATCTCAAGCAGAATCCACATTGAGTGCAGAGCCCTTGGCGTGCCTGATCTCATGATCCTGAGATCATGACCTGAGCTGAAACCAAGAGTTGGTCACTCAACCGACTAAGCCACCCAGGCACCCCTCCCCCCTTTTTTTTCTACAGAGCGAGAGGACACCTGTGCTTGTGTGGGATGGGGGAGGGGCAGAGGGAGACAGAGAAAATCTCAAGCAGGTTTCACACCTAGCGCAGAGCCCAGCATGGAGTCCAGTGCAGGGCTTGATCTCACAGCCCTGAGATCTTGACCTGAGCCGAAATCAAGAGTCAGAATCTCAACCCACTGAGCCACCCAGGCACTCGGGTGGTT